AGAGTAATGAGATATTGACTGTAAGAAAACATTATCCTATTACTCCATGTTTGCTTACAATCAATAACATATTAAGAAAGAAAGTCATATTATTATTGTACGTATGATATTACGAAGACAATAATTTAAACAATGAATCAAATCAACGGTTCGAAGAATAGCAGTTCTTGCAACATTAATCGTGTTGCAATTTGTAATTTATGTTATAACTCGATAAGAATGAAAAAAAGTTCAAACAAATAAATAAAAACTTTAACGCGATAAAATTGTTTATTGGTCATTTTCAAATAAAAACTGTTTTTCTTTTCGACACATATTCTTATTAGTATTTTCAAGATCTGGATTTACGACACGAAAAAAGTTTTCCTTAACAAGAAATTTTAAAGAAATACAGAGATTAATCATCGTCGGTATTCTTGAATATTAGGTTTAAGTTTCTGTCTGCAACAAAAGTTATTTCCGTAGGTCGCGAAAAAGAAAATTCCTCTTTTCGAAACCGCTCGTGACCAAAAAAAGTCTTTACAACGAATTATTAAACGAAGAATCTTTGCAACAGCTAATTATCTACATTAATTTAAATTAAACGACAGTTTTTGTAATTCAATATTTTCCTCTTAGCTACTGTGTGTAGACTGTTCCAGCAGAATGAATACGTTAGAACGCGCTAAAAAACACAGTTATCTGGCAACTGTCAAATTCAGCGCCATCTATGAAAAAAATGTTAAACCTACTTTTATACCGTCGGTAAGTACCGATACTTTCATTTTAATTATCTTTCTCTTGCAATGGTTTGTTTCTACTGGTAAAATAAGCGTAATAATTGTTGTACATGGAAGTAAACAACACAGGAAATTTCAAATTAAATATTAACATTAAGGTATCTTTATAATCAACAATATATTTACATATTTACAGTGAAACAATAATTGGATAATTGTTCGACATCGTAGCTAATCAACGTAAACCAACTTGGTTTTATCTATAACCCTGGTGGCAGAGAAAGCAAAAGATGTATATGCCGCAATAATACAGTATCTAAAAATGCATATAAGCTTGTTTAAATTTTATGTTTCGAAGTTAATAATTCGTCAAATACAGAACTATCCAGTGTACAAGTAAACACTGATTATAGTCGAGACGAATCATTTGATTTAGTTTGGCCACCAGAGGCGCTTTTTTTTTTTTTTTTTGAAACATCATACACAGAAAGAATAGAAAAAAACACGTTTATCTCTAGTCAAAGTAAGGCTGAATTGAAGAAAAAGTATGCCTATACTTGATTAAAGAAAGATCCAGTGGAATTTTGTAAATATCTTTTTAGAAATTAATGCGTGCTAATATGGATCTTTTTATTATTTTATAAGAAAGATCAATTGAATTGTGATCCCACGTTTGAGCTAGAAGAGATGATTATTGAATCGAAACCTCTTCACAAGAAGAAGAAGAGGCTGTCTAAACGTTATTCTCGGAGAGATCCAGAGACTAGTTCTTCCAGTGATGAGGTAAGTCGATAGAATTATGTATGAAACGTGCTCTTTATAAATTAATTCATGCTGTTACAGACTTGCACAGAAGCGTCACCTCTAAGACCTATTTCTCGAGGGCTGTTTTTAATGAGACAATAAAACATTCTTTAGTTAACGTGATCTAGTCAGTAGCGAAGAAAAATGTAGTTGTTTATTTTAAAATGCATGGATGTTAGAAATTTGCTTAGTTTACAGAAAACTCTTCACATTTTTTATGCCAACCTGTGATTTTAAAAGCTTGATTAGCCTAGTTTTTTTAATCGATAGAATTTATTAAATTTTAAGTCCTTTCTGAAGTTTCCTAGAAATAAATATATTTTTTTTAACTGTATTTTGTCATGCAAACATAATAATGACATTTTTATGAACAGGAAAAGTTTTTTATAAACATCGCTAGAATATGCTGATAAAGGTTCGGGCGTGGCCGAGTGTTAGCATGTCGGATACGATGGATATAAGATCCAAGGTTCGAGCTTGTGATATGCTGCTGAAAACATTTAGAACTTTCAGATGTTATAACAATGACAGTTTAGGCGGAGGGTGATACTGATTGGTTGCTCACCCTTTGATCAGCAGTTACGATTTAGGGACGACTATACCTGCGCTTTCTAGATGAAAACACGAAATATATTACCTGATAAATTAACAATATGATAGCCAGTCGTGTACACAACGTTCTACAGATTACACAGGCCTGCGATGGTTTTATTGTCTTGAAATTTTTACGTTATACACTGTACAGTAATTTCTGTACGATGAATTCGAAAATGATATCCATTTTTCTCCATCACGTACAGATTTTTCATAAAACTTCATAACGCAATACATAAAAGAAAAACCTCAACACGTAGTTTTGAGACTAAAAGACGCAGATTTGACACGCACAAAAAATCAGGATGAATGAGGATGTATATTCGTTTGACATCAACGGTCTTCCCTTTTCTTCAGTTTGTGTCGACTCACAATCTGAGGGCCGCGGGTTCGAATCCGCATCCCACCAAACATGCTCGCCCTTTCAGCCGTG